TTGATACTTGACATTAACAAATACATACTCGATACTGACATTTAGTTATTCGATACTCTATGGTTAATAAGAAGTGCTCGATATAAAAAAAAATGTGTTAGTGTAATGAGGTAGTGAGGTTTATGCAAATAGTAATGAAATGGGTAGTGTTAGTTACTTACAAAGTAAAGACAATTACAGGTACAATGGACGTTTCGACCCAAAGTCTTCGTCAGCAGTGTAAAGACTAGATAAAAAAAAAGACAAAAAGTGATATAATTTTGGACTTACAGTAAAAGCACATCTGGTCTTAAGGCAACTGTTATCCAAATGTAGAAACAGTTACACCACCGGCAATGAGAAGATGTGGTTGAGTGGTAGAGCGAAGTGTAGTCTCTCATTGATATCAAGCCCTAACCTATGCCCTAGCCTGACGAGACCAATTTATGTTTGGGAAAGTAAGTACAATGATGGCCATACACCGCCTTAAAATAACTATCCGATCACTGAAGCATATATATATATATATATATATATCTTTATATATATATATATATATATATATATATATATATATTATATATATATATATATATATATATATATATATATATATATATATATATATATATATATATATATATATACATACTTACAGTTAGATTTTGTTTTTTAAAATCGCTAACAAGAAATTTTACTGACAAATCGATAGGTGCTGTATAGGCTGCTTCAAGGCCGTCATGTTTTTCAGGTGGGTTTTTTTTTTGGTGACACTTTTATCCCGTGACATCGCTAATCCGTTAATCCATATTTTGTAATCTTGTTTGGTCAACAACAACACTGGTCAATGCGTTGTGACGGAGTACAGCCGAACTCTGATTACCTTGACGAAACAAAAATTTGTATCCACTGATGAAAACGTCTCAAAGAAACGAACGAAAACAAAGAAATAAACTATGTAAATATTGTTAGGAAACATCAAATACAAATGTACAGTTTTAGTTTTTTTTAAATTTTTCATTATTGGCCAAAAATTTAATATAAAACAAACGAAACTGGATTGTTAAACACATAGTTATGTTTCTTGGGGGTGGGGGGGGGGGGGGCAATGTTAAATGGCAATTCTAGTTCGGTAGTACATTTCCCTATTAGAACCCAACGGTCCATGGGGCAAGTTACTGTGACATCGGAATATGAAGGGTCAGCACTAGTGTGGTCAGCACTAGTGTGGTCAGCACTAGTGTGGTCAGCACTAGTGTGGTCAGCACTAGTGTGGTCGACAAGTGTGGTCAGCACTAGTGTGGTCAGCACTAGTGTGGTCAGCACTAGTGTGGTTAGCACTAGTGTGGTCAGCACTAGTGTGGTCAGCACTAGTGTGGTCAGCACTAGTGTGGTCAGCACTAGTGTGGTCAGCACTAGTGTGGTCAGCACTAGTGTGGTCAGCACTAGTGTGGTCAGCACTATGCCCAACCACCTTTATTTTCCCTAACGTGAGTTACGTACCCATCAGGGCTGGATGGACACAGGTAAGTTACACTGCTTTGAACACAGATTCGAACTTAACACTTTTCGGGTGAGCAGTCTAGCATTATCCCGCTAGGCCACTCCGCCCCAGTTAGTTCGGTGCGAAGCTTTAATATAGTCTTTTACCTTCGACATGTTAAGAGCCAACTTGCATGCATATATTTGTTATTTTATTGACGAGTGTATGGACCCAAACTACATAAATTTATCTGACTTTATCCCTCAGATATAGTTAACATGGATTACTCTGGTCCTTATATATCAGATATCTTAATAGACTCAAATCATGCCACTAATCCGTTTCATCATGTTCAACATTCACCATTAAGTAAATGTTTAAATCTCATATCTACGACGGCTGCAGCATTTGCTGTACGTTCCCAGAATGGTGAGTACACATGTCAGTGCACATGATGGTCATCTATAGCAGACAAGCGCCATGTCTGTTCTGCTAACCACTGTGAGATACAATACTAGGATTCACTTTTTGAGGTGTGTCAGCATGTACAAAAGTAACCATGACTCCATGTCACTAGCTTTGTTTTCTAAAGTTCATTATTCCTGATCAACAAATAATAAAAACATTTTCTTAATAGAATGCATAGAAACAAAATTAAAAGAAAACTTTAAAGGCGAGCATTGAATGTGTCGATGTTAATGAAATGAAAGTTTGGCTTAACAAACATTCGTACTTTAGCTGTAATCAAGGCTATTTCAATTACTGTAAAGTGTTGACGACATAAAATTCGCGATTAGCGATTAGAAATGAAACGTTGTAAACTACTTGAGATAAGTGTTTATTTTTTATTGAATTCTGTTTGTCTTAATCGATGTATCTATCAATCGTCCGCACAATTAAGCTATGGTCAGAATACATTAGTTAATTAATTTTTTTTTAACTTTTTTCTCCAAACATTTTGATACATCAACTATAATAACATTTAAAAAAAATTCATTAAAAAAACGACGAATAATATCCTAAGGGTTAAATTAAAATATTATATAGCAGCGACTTTAGCCTAAGACAACGCGAAATGCTAAGAGTGCACCCATTTAGTTCAGACTCTACCAAACCTTGCAACACCAGGAAGCTGAGTATCTGGAACATTTAAAGACAAAAATAAGACGGGGATTTAAAGTGCAATCAATGTGCTCACTCAAGAAAGACAGTTTTAAAAATGTGAATTATTTGAGTGACGAAACAAATAGTGGATGAGAGGCTTCCTGCGGGCCTTCAGATATCTTGTAATTACAGGTATAAACGGTAGGTGTACTCTTGGCAAGCAGATCGTATGGCGAACACTATGCTGGATCAGACACGTCGCTAGCAGTTTCAGTGCAAAGGGGAAACAGAAAATTGATATCAACTAACAGCAGATACGGAGCTAGGAGTAGATGGTTCAGATCCTAGATTGTATGAAAGAAGGTCTCCATACATCATCATTGTTTCGTCCCCAAGACAGACATGGTGTAGAAGAAGTAGATTGCATCTGTTTTAATTACCTCGGCATACAGGGGGATCGTTTTAGCCTGTGCTATGGGGGTGGGAGAGGGTGTAGCCGTAGGTGACCAATGACACGTTAGACAGCTTCAGACTTTTATCTGTGATAGAATATACCTAAATACACATATGTACAACTGAATTTAACAGCTAACCCACAATCACAAAAAAATGTTCGCATTAATTGTTTTCATCTGCTCTTCCATCCTCCACTACCCCGACAAGTTCCCACAACACTCGTGAAACTTCAGCACCCAAGTTATTTTCTAGTCTCCAAGTTCCTTTGAAAATTTATCAGTACCCAGTCTCCATCAAAGACTTAAATGACGTCATAAAAATAATCTAGAAATGTATATATTTCTAAATTCTAATGCCAATAATTATCCACATCTACGGCTGGAATGTAAAAAAAAAATGTATTGATGTTCACAAAAATAAAACAGGACAACATGTCACCATAATGTCTGACGTCACTGAATTCAGGAAGTAGGTGGCGGGAGTCAATGGGTGTGTTAGTATGATATCGTCTGCTGCCACTGGCTTATTAATTACTATGGTTTTCAACGCTCCAAACTGGAAATCTGTATGGATTTGTTGTATAGTCTTTTCAACAAAAGTTTCAAAGGCTGAGCCGCAGGTTACTATTTTAGTTACCCGAGGATTTGTTGAGCTCATATCGTACTGTTATTTTCTTATGTTTTAACAAACACGATAAGATTATCACAAATGTTGTTTAGGGCTAAGAATATTAATTAAAAATATTGTAAATAGGCCGGAAAAATTGCTATTTGAAGCTTAAATCGTAATGTCTGTTTGTTTGTTTGTTTGTTAGTTTGTTTGTCTGTTTCTGGTCTACTCGTGAAACTAAATTTTGAACCATTTTGAATAGATCAATTTTTTAACAGTTTTGTATTTATTCTTGGATAACAACAGGTTAATACACCAACAATTGAATAAACCCTATCATACCCGTACCCCCCCCCCCCCCTCCCCTTCACACACCACATAAGCAGCTGAACGATTCTAAAGCTACAAAGTTAACCCCACTGTCACGCTGTATAATTTCACGATCAATCAAACTTCAATCACACCCTACAGTACAGGCACAGTTGACGTGGTCGTCCTTGTCCGTGTCACGTTAAAGTACATACCCCACGTGACACATATAGTGTATGCTTAACGTGACCTGCACTATTATTTAAACGCTGCAGATTTCCAGATGGTCCGAGTTCCATACAGTTAACAAGCACCACAGATAGTGTTGATAAGTAAGAATACGTGCCTTTGTTTAACTATATATTATCCGATCATTTTTAACACAACTTATATATATATATATATATATATATATATATATATATATATATATATATATATATATATATATATATATATATATATATATATATATATATATATATATATATATATATATATATATATATATATATATATATATATATAATATATATATATATATTTTTTTTTTTTTTTTTTTTTTTTTTTGTTATTTTGATATTTATTTCATCATTGAAAATCTGGTTGTGTATGTCCTCCTTGAAGAAAGTCATAGTCTATTTTCAAAAAAAGTTTCCTCAATAATTAGAATTATAAAAAGTATCAGAACTAGTTTTTTATACTAGACTTGGTGTTTATCTTTCCATGCTATAAAATTACAGCAGCAAATATTTACATATTCAAGGACTAGGTAGTTTATTACACTACAAAAACATCAAGTACCTGCAGTTGAAGATGAATGTCATTTTCTTCTTTTATAAGCAAAAGGCTTTATTTATATTACTTATTATTGATGCATATTTCTATTTCAAAAGAAAATACCACACATAATATGAATCATAGTGTACCATAATGATCAATTATTAAAAATCATAAATAAATGAAGATAAATGCTATAAACAAAACATTCATACAATAACTTTGACAACTTTTTTTTTAAATGACCAAAACCAAGAGCATAACAAAAAATTTGAATGATGGATGGATAGTAAAACTTTTTTTTGACAATACAAGAATAAAGAAAATTAAATATGTTGGACTTCTTTTAGTTACACTGTTTAACATGTCTAAAGGTCATTAAAAATTAGGCACAGTGGAAAGACAGCATAGTATGATGAGTAAAAAAGAAAAAGAGACTATGTACAGGAGTGCTATATGAAATCATCCTCTTCATCATCATAATATGCTCCTTCCGCCACATCTGCCAAACCTAAGTCATCAGCCTTGTCTACTCTAATTGTGGCCTTTGGTTTCTTTTTCTTTTGAGTCTTTGCCTGTTCTCTCCTTTGTCGTTCCTTTTCATGATACAGTGTATTTAATGAAATACCAATTCGTTTGATGTCATCAGCAGGCAATGTTAAGGTTAAATCATGGATAAATTTTTACTATAAATGCTGAATACAATTTGCTACTCTCAAAAAATGTGATTTTTGTTTTCAAAGCTTGTTCAAATTGATCAAACTGTTCTTTTGTTTCAGGATACATGCTGTCTATTCCAGATGCATCGCCTACACCAAATAAACCTTTAGCTAATTTTAAATCAGCTTCTTCTTGAATCTTTTGTAGTCTAATTTTCTCAGCCAGTTTTTCCTCTGGTGTCTTCTCAACCTTTTCTTCTTCCTTCTGTTTAGTTCGCGCCTTTTCAGCTATTCTATCAGCTATTGGTTTTTTCTTCGGCCTCTGGTAAGCTGTGGACTTTTCTTCCGCTGGTTTAGTTCCATCAGCCTGTTCCTTTTTTTCTTCCTCTTCATCTTCCCAGCTTTCCTTCACGTCATCTTCTTCATCTTCTCCTTCCCATTTATCTGAAGCAACTGCCCCGGCAGGTGGGATATTGGGCTCGAAATCCTCTTTCATGTTTACCAAAATCAGTGATAAGAAAGAAATGATGTACACAGCGTCAGTCCTTAATATTGATTACCACCATAATACAAAAGCCCCGGTGCTATAAAATGAATGCTATAAGTGTCTTTATTAAACAACGATTAAATACTTTTTTTTTACTAAATATTTAGGTAACAACGCATTAATCTACGTGTTTATTTTTACAAAAATTTTTTTTTACTATTTATTTGACGCCTAGAAGAGGAAAGAAGCTAAAAATAGATTTAAATAGTATCGACATCGAGTTGTCTTCCTTCTAGTTGTGATTGTCTATTTATTTGACTAGTTTAATGTTTATCATCTAGGATTGTTGTATCCTATTACGTGTTGAATGTGTTCTTCTATTATGTTATAAATAGATTGTTATAAACTTATTATTGAACTCAGTTATACATGTGTTGTATTATTATGTTATACATGTTATTCTATTATGTTAAACCTTTTTATGTTCTGTTATTTAGTTAGATTTTCCCAGTGGCGTTGCTAGGTCGGGTGTCACCCGGTGCGGTACCTGACGGTGAACGTTGGTGTCACCCCCCCCCCCCCGCCCTTATTTTGGATAGGTCTAAACTTTGCACGAATAATAGTAACGATGTTTAACTATATTCGGTTATTAATACAGCTGGGTGTAACAATGTTTTCTCTATTCTTAGCAAGTTTACGAAAAGGTGTCACCCCCCCCTCCCCCCTCCCTCCCCCCTATCCTTGTCGGGATTCGTCAATTTAGCTCTTAAAAACAATTTAAACTGTAATTAATCATTTATTTAAAAGGAATAATCTTTTTTTTCTATATACATTTGGCTATTTTTGCCTTGGTGTCACCCCCCCCCTAAATGGTGTCACCCGGTACGGTCCGCACCCCCCCCGTTCCGCCCACGCTACGCCACTGGATTTTCAATTATGTTACAATAAAACCGTTGGATAATTTGAAACCAAAATGTTCAGGTATACTATTTATATACATCCTCATTTGTTTACCTGTGAGAAAATCACGAGCTTTTTGATTATACCTAGTGTTTCCAGAACCTTGTGTCGTGTGATTATGTCAGGTGATTAGAGGACCTTTGTGCCCACACATTAGCCCAGTGTACCTGAAGTAAAGGTGAGATCAGAAAGTTTACGCCAGCAACAAAACTATATTAGGGCAATTTGTTAACAGACAAGTTTGATTAGAAAATAAAACAAATATATAAAAACTTTCTAATAATATGCTGTAAAATGCACTGAAAGTAAGAATATAATGCAAACTTGCTTTTTTAAAAATATTATAAAAGCTTTGGTTGCTAAAACATGTAAAAGATTTCATGAGCGACCAAAGCGTTTATTAAAGAAAACAAGTTTTCTTTTTAATTTTCAATGCATTTAAAAGCTGCAAGTTTTTTTTACATAAAGGCTTTTTTAAATATTTGTTTTATGTTCTTCTTATTATCATTCGTTCTAAATAAAGTTTATACCAAAGTGTCTACTACTAAAAATTTGCGCTAAAAATGTGTAGCTTGTTATCTCTAAAAGACAAGTATCTGCTCCTTCATAGTCCACGGACGACGCACATGAAAATAAAATCACTCAGCCGTGAAAAACAACACAATCTTAATAGAGTGATCGCTAAGATTTAGTCTTGTTATCTCGACTTTAATTTTTTTTAATTTAGAAATTTTACATTGAATTTTAATGACAAGCTTAAAGTCTAATCAGATTTAAAATATATATTCTTGTATTGTCACCAGAGACGAATGTATATGGAAAATGAGTCACGAAACCTCTGCTCGAGAAGATGGTCACAAATAAGTTACAACATTTGCCACAACCCACAAACAAACTAACAAACAGACTTTGCGAACTAGATAAAAGATTTAAAAAAAACAGATATTGTGAATTTAAAAAAATCTTATAATAAATTTTGTAACATGGTAAAGGCTGGGCTCGCATCCCTTGAAGTTCGCTGGGGTCCTCCAAATTCTGTTCAGTACCTAGTTTGTCTTGATAAACGTGTTAGTTAAGGCGTCTGGGTATGGTGCTGAATACACAGTATCTTCACAGACCAAGTCCAAAAAATAACAAATGATTTCCGTTGTATCTGACTTATGTGACGGTAGGTTTGATAGTATATTTTCTTTTTTTAAACAGGTGGTATGGTGGGGTGGGAATTGGGAAAAAAGGGTAACCTGAAGCTTTCCGCTGGTACATGGGCGAGACCCTACACCTGTGCTGAACATTACCTGCAGTATCGTGAGTGGGCTATCTGTGTGGGGCATAGATGATCGAAATTGTTCTGGTGATTCAAAGTTCACTTTTATAACTCGTCATTGACTAAATATGATGGTGTTTAGTATCTGTTACTTACATTCTGTTAATTCTGTTTTTGGCGAAACTTGATATTATCGTAACAAGTTACTACATTACATCGTTATTTCATACAATTTAAGTTTTCATAGGTTTTAATTTTTTTAAATGATGGTTAAATATAGAAACTTTTGCTTTTCAATCTTATAATTCTATTAGCTTTCATAAACTGTGGAATAATTATAAGTTTATCAAAGAGGACTTTTAGTTTTAGCTTAACTTTTCTGCGCAAATCAAAAACTCAAATGTCCTAAATTAAACGAAAAACAACTTTAATTGTTTTCATCTAACACTTGAAAGTAATTTCCCTGAATCCACTTAAGCAATTTCGATAACGTCGTCTTCCAATTTAATTGTTAATCACAGACCCGATAAACAAATTATTTTTAATTGATTTTATCCGCTTGGCTTTCTTTATTTAGAAAATAATGAGAACATATTTGATTGAATTAGAAAACAGTTTTGAGTTGAAATTACTCTCAAGTAGATGTTTGCACGAAGAACGAGACATCACATCAAGCAGCAAGTTGGTAAATATAATCCTTAAAATCGCGGAGTAATAAATATAACGACGGGGCCAAATTTCTAGTTTTTTGTAGCAACAAAGTAAAATTCACTTTTGCAGTCAGTGCATCTAAGAAACCCCACGCACAAATCAGCAGATTATGCTTTGTTTGAACAAACAAACAAGGCAGAAAACAGATCTATTTACGATATTTTATTCCCTTTTACGTTACCTGCATTTTTTTTTCTATTCCGGCCAACTGTTCAGGGGAAGCAACTATATTGCAAGGGAAGCAACCGAGTTCTTTAGAGAGTTGGTAAAAAAAAAAGGAGAATCAGAGCAGATAACGTCGAGTGAATGTATAACAAGAAATAAAATGTGATAAAAATATATTATTTTCATTTATTCGCTTTTTATCCTGGACTTTGTTTTGTAAAGTTTGCTCACTTTTTTGTATTGCTTTACATTTATAAACTTTTGATCTATTTTTCTACCTGATTTCGTCTTCACGAAAGCTACAAATATATAATCAATTTTTCGCTCATATTAAGCATCAAATTTTAAAGTTTAGAGCATTACGAGACATACATTTTCCATTAAATTCATCAACAAATTGTACTCCTGTAAGCCTGTACCATTCCGATCTGTCTACTTATGCATTGCGTATAAATGAACAATATACAAGCTAAAATCTTATCAAAGAGGGGTACCTAAATACACTTTGATGCAGTCTTTTAACTGTACCGAATTTGAAACATGTACGCCTCTAACATAGGCGTCACACACTAACAGTATGAGAGGGGTAGGGGAGTATCATATAGTACCCTCTTCAATGGAAATGCTATAAACGCCTATTTATATTGAGTAATTATGTTCAAGAAACCAATTGTATTCAACCAGTTCCTATAATATTAAATTTAATTTAGCAAATAACTGTGTCGTTAAATAACAACTGGTTATCTCCCATTTATGTATATCAGAGTCACCTGCCCTCGACAAACCTTAAATAATCAAATTTTGAAACTTTAAAAATAAATAATAATTAAATAATTAATTGTGCGTCAACTCTGAACAGTTCTAACGTACAATAACAGCCACGTAGATTACAGTAAACGAAAAGTTGTCCCTAATTGTTTACCTGACACAATTGTTTACTGTCATCAAACAAAGTAAACATTCAATGCCCAAGTTTGATGGATCCACTTCTACTGTGTTCTATAGATCAACAGAGCACGAAGCCAAATTTGTTCTAGGTGTAATTATTTCTGCCGAATGTTCTAGTTACAAGATCGGTAAACTAATTCGTTTACACTTTATATTGTTGAATGTTTAAGTTGAGATTTTTGTTTGATAAAATTGCTCTTTGATTTCGCGTGAAAGGGTAAAAACAAGTTTCTTGAACATGTTTGATAAAATAGAAAAGTTTGAATAAACAAGTTCTATGAAGAAGTTCTATAAAGAAGCTCCGTGAACAAGTTTTATGAACAAGTTTTATGAACAAATTTAATAATAAATATTTTGAACAAGTTTAGTAAAAAAAGTTCTTAAATAAGCTTAATGAACATGTTCTATGTACATGTTCTATGAACAAGTTCAAAAAAAATTATTATATAAATATTTGGAACAAGTCTAATGAGCATGCACTATGGACAAGTTGTATGAAAAAATGCATTATTTAAATACTTTGAACAAGTTTAATAATAAAGTTCTATGAACAAGTTTAATGAACAAGGTTCATGAACAAGTTATTTGAGCAAGTTCTATGAAAAAATTAATAATAAATATTTTGAACACATTTAATAAACAAATTCTATGAACACGTTAATAAAAAAAGAATTTTAAAACAAGTTCAATGAACCACCTTAATAAAAATACAAGTTCTACAAAGAAATTTATCGAACAAGTTTTATGAACAAGTTTAATGAACCAGGTCAATTAAAGAAAACTATATTTTCTTTTAAAAATGCATCTGTAAAAAATAATAAAAGGCTAACAGGCAGACTAGAAGTTGTCATAAAATATAGGGGAGGAGGGGGGGGGGGGGGCTTTAATCAGCAACGCGACGTTGTTATGGCGTTTTTTGCTGTTTCTTTTTTTCTGTATGGAGAAAACGGAGAAAAAAGGA